TGGGGGGAGGGGGTGCAGCGGTGGTTAATGTTTGTGGGCTGGGGGATTCAAGTATGTGGAGAAGGCTCTGGTTAATCAGCATTCCTGCAGCACCTTCTGTGGTACTCAGAGTACTTCATGTTTAGACTCTAATTTCCTGTCATGCTTTGAGGGCTTGATGGGCTTGATCACCCTGCAATCATTTGTTAATGAAGATGTTAGCAAGTCTTGCTTAAGGAATGAAAAAACACCAGTTGCCATCAAGTTGACTCCTATTCATAGCAACCCTATGTGTGTCAAAGTAGAACTGTACTCCACAGGGTTTTCAGTGGCTGATTTTATGGAAGTAGATCGCCAGGCCTTTCTTCTGAGTCACCTCTGAGTGGACTCAAACTGCCAACTATTCAGCTAACAGCTGAGTGTGTTACCCATTTGCACCACCTGAAAAAAACCAAACCAAGCCCATTGTTGTCAAGTTGATTCCGACTCATAGCGACCCTATAGGACAGAGTAGAACTGCCTCGTAGGGTTTCCCAGACTATAAATATTTACGGAAGCAGACTGCCATATCTTTCTCCTCTGTAGAACAGCTGGTGGTTTCAGTTAGCAGCCGAGTGCTTAACCACTGCACCACCAGGGCTCTGTCCTTGCACCACTGAGGGACTCCAAAACCAGTTGCCGTTGAGTTGATGCCGACTCATGGTGTACAAAGCACCTGGTAAATATATTATTAATACCATGACGGTAGTTTTTAAATTTTTTTTTTTTTAAGCAGCAAAACTTTTTATTAAAAAATGTGATTTTATATGAAACAAGTAGGAAAGGTGCTGTTCTGTTTGGTGAGGTTAGAGTACCTGGGGTCCCACCCCACACTATAAGTACATAGGGAGGTGGCCGTTATAGATGCCTGGTGGTGTTAGGTCACATCCCCTAAACCTGGATGTTTCTTGGGTATTTATATTTGGCTTCTCACCCTCCACAGGATACTCACCATTACCATTCTGGCTCTCTGTCTTCCAAGTCCTGGGAATGCACAGGTAAGATCTTTTTCTTTTTAATAATCTAGAAACATGTTAAAAACAAAAATGAGGGATCCCAACCATGCATTCGTGGGGATGGAAGGGGCCTTCGGGTTTCTGTAATCCAAGCTCTCCATTTTACAGAGATGAAAGCTGAGGCTTAGAGAAGGGGAGAGACTTGCCGCAGTGTCAGGGCTGGGACCTGAACTCCTGACTCCTGATCCAGGACTTGTTTAATTAGATCATGCTGCTTCCTTTGTGCTGGTTTACCGAAATATCATAAAAAGTGCTCTTTGTTTCTGAGGGTCAATGCCCCTGAGCCACCTGTGTGTCTCCCCCTGGGTCTGTGTGTGTGTCTCGGGAGGGGACGTGGAGTACCCAGACACACCAACATGCCTGTCGGGGTTATTCAGCTCCAGACCTGTGGCCCATCTCTGGGTTGAGAGGGCTGCAAGGTTAGGCCCACAGCAAGGGCAGAGGAGGAGCCTGCAGCCTCCTGGCCTTTATAAAGCCATCGGAGACCTGTTCCCATTCGTGTCAGCCCTGGAGACGTGTGGCCAGATCCTTCCTGAAAGCTCAGAGCAGCTTCTCCTCGTCTCTGGTTTAGGATAGAAATCAGAGAAGCCCCACCTCCGAGCAGAGCTCCAGGGCTGCAGGACGATAGGGGAATATTTTTTCCCTCCATACTAAGCATTTTGAACATATCCAGGCCATTGGGAGGAAAAGGATCTTCGGAGGAGAAACAAAGAGCTTTAGGCCTTGGAGGGACCTTGGAGTCTTCTAATCCAGCCCTCTGGTACAGATGGGGAAATCTAGACTCAGAGAGGCCAGTGGCGACATTGTTGTCTTCACTGCTTTTTAGCACTTTACATATATTAGCACATTTAGTCCTTACAACCATGTAAAAAGTAAGTTCTATTATTCCCATTTTACAGATGAGGAAACTGAGATATAGAAAGGTTATGCAGCTAGTAGGTATCAGAGTGAGAATTTGAAGCCAGATGGCCCAGAGAATTTGAACCCAATCCAGCACTTAGTTGGAGAACCAGGGCAGGAACCTGGGTCTCCTGGCCTCCCAAGCTCTATAGAACTGCCTCCTGGCTCATCTGCTCTGTTCCCTTGCTCCAAGGCCCAGGGATGCCTGAACTTGCTCCCAGGAGTGCAGGCCGAATCCCTACACCGCAGCTCAGGGAAGCCGAGCCCTGTGCTGCCGTGGGGAAGGCAGGGATCTGAAGATATGGAGTGAAGAGGCCAGGGATTGAAGCTCTCACAGTTGGAAACATCCCCCGAACCCCGCCCCTCATTCCTATAAAATGGCAGCTTCAAGGTCTTCGCTAAAGGGTCCACTTGTCCATCCCAAGACATTTTTTTAAAAGTACATAAAGTTGTAACTCAAGGTATATGCGAAGTCTCGAACACTCTGGGGTTGTTGAGATCCATCTATTTCTGGAAGCATAATTATCTTACTGAGATGGAAATCAAGGCATTTCCCCATTTCTTTTCACTGAAAACCAACTGCATCTGCAGTGTAGCTTTTATTTTATGGCCTCAGAGTCAGGTAGAAGCCTTCATAGAGGCAAAGGGCCGATGTTAGGCTCTGAGAAGATGAGATAAAACATCCAAAGAAAGAATCATTGCCCTTACACAGGCTTATCCATTCCTGGAAAGGGGATGAACATGGGTGTAGACATCTGGTAGATCAGACATGGTTAACACTGCGCTTCTTAACTGGAGCATTGAAAAACCCCAACAACCATCTGTTAAAAATGAGATTTATTTTATGAAGCAACAGTATGGGGGACAGGGAGCTTAAGAAGGAATGCTAAGTATTAAAAAAAAAAGTAAGTATATATATATATGGATTATAATAGGTGTTGGTGTTATGGGCGCCTTAAATTTTTTTTTATTGTGGTAAAGTATATATAACATAAAATTTGCCACTTTAAAGTGTACAATTCAGTGACATTAATTACATTCACAATGTTATGCAACCATCACTACTATTTCAAAACTTTTATCACCCCAAACAGAAATTCAGTACTCATTAAGCAGTCACTTCCCATTCCCCCTTCCCCCAGCCCCTGGTAACCACTAACCTAATTTTGTCTCTGTGCATTTGCCTATTCTATATATTTCATAGAAGTGGGATCATACACTGTGTATTCTTTTGTGTCCAACTTATTTCACTCGGTATGATGTTTTCAAGGTTCATCCATGCCATAGCATGTATCAGAACTTTATTCCTTTTTTGTGGCTGAATAATAAATAGTATGGATAGACCGCATTTTGTTTATCCATTCACAGTTGATGGACACTTGGGTGGTTTCCACTTTTTGCCTATTGTGAATAAAGCTATAATAAACATTGGTGGACACACAGATGTCTTTCTTTCTTTACTCCATTTCTCAAGTGTTCTGTGATGCAGGGACAGTACTTTTACAGTAAAATGTAAGTATGTACCTTGACCTTGCCTCTCTCTTCTCTCCCCTTCCCTGCAGCAACAATGCACTAATGGTTTTGACCTGGATCGCACATCAGGACAGTGCTACGGTGAGGTCACTGCAAACCCTTCCCTGGGGCAGGGGCTTCAGGGGCAGCTGTAGCCCAGGGCCACTGCTTTCTCAGCTGATGTTCCATATTGTCAAACCTCTGTTAGCCTCACCCATGGAAGAAAACAGTGCTGTGGAATGAATGAAGTCAGTGGCAGCCTTTTCTTGATCACCTTCCTTAGCACTGTCAGGGACCAAAGATGAGCAAGAATTGGTCTCTGATCTCAACAGGCTTTCCCTTCATATTAGTCTTTTATTGCTGCCCTAACAAATTGCCACAGACTTTGTGGCTTTAACAACACAAATTTATTATCTCCCATTTCCATAGATCAGAAGTCCAACATGGGTCTCACCGGGCTACCATCAAGGTGTGGGCAGGGCTGCGTTCATTTCGGGAGGCTCTAGGGGAGAATCCATTTCCTTGCTCATGCAGGTTGTTGGCAGAATTCAGTTTCTTGTAATTGTAGGGCTGAAGTCCCTGACTCCTTGTGGCTATCAGCTGAGAGTCATTCTCAGCTTCTAGGGGCCACCCTCATTCCTTGACTTGCCCCCCACCCCTTTCCTTCCATCTTCAAAGCCAGTGATGGTAGGTCAAGTCCTTCTCATGATTCACATCTCTCCTTCTTCTTCTTCTTCCATTGCTGCATCTCTCTGACCAACCCTTTTGCTTCTTCTTTCACTTTTAAGAACTCATGTGATTAATTGGGCCCAACCAGATAATCCAGGTTAATATCCCCCTTCTCAAGGTCAATTTATTAGCAACCTTAATTCTATCTGCAACCTTAATTCCCTTTTGCCATATAATGTAACAAGTTCTGGGGATTAGGACATAGACTTTTTTTTGAGGGGGCAGGATGCTATTCTTCTGTCTGCCACACCATTCAATAGGAAGAATAGATCTAGAAATAGTGAATTTTGTGACAGGTGAAATAAAGTAATTGCCCAGTAAAGGTGAAAGCAATAGGCCCTGCAGAAGATGAGGAGAGAATGATGCCTTGGGTCTGGGGTTCATAAAGAAAGCCTTCATGGAGGTCATGTGTGAATTAGCTATTGAAGGATGAGTAGGATCCTGAGAAATGGCATTCCAGGTAGAAGGAATAGCATAAGCAAAGACCAGAGCCAGAAAGTATGTTCATAGTGTAGAATACTTTGGTATGGATGGAGCATAGGGTATATGAAAAGAACAAGGCAGCCCTGCTTCTCCCCACCTCTGGCACTTATTTAGGGTATACAGTCAGGTCTGCTGTTTATACTGGAGTCAGGATTCAGACCTCCCTCCTACCCTAACCAGTTGTCGTTGAGTCATCTCTGACTCATGGTGGCCCCATGTGTGTCAGACCAGAACTGTGCTCCACAGGGTTTTCAATGGCTAGGTATTCGGAAGCATATTGCTAGGCCTTTCTAGGCACCTCTGAGTAGACTCGAACCTCCAGTCTTTCAGTTAACAGCCTGAGTTTGTTAACCATTTGTGCCACCCAAGGACTCCTAGCCTTACCCTAGCAAGGCTGATTTTCTAGAGAACCTACCTCCCACCTCCAGGCATAACAGCCTGAGTAGACATGGGCTCTGTTTGCCAGCATGGTGTGAGCTGACTTTAAAGTAAGCTCTGCTTTCTGAACAAGTAGCTAGCGCTCAGCCAAGCCTTGTCTTTCTTGATGCAGGGGACTATTTCTCCCCTGCCCAGCCACTGTTTGGAGTAGAAGTGGGAACAATCTTTGGTCCATCCCAGTGTTTCCAGAGAGCAGGATATACACACCGAGTACCTGAGATGTTTTTAGGTGGGACCCCCAGAGATAAACACTTGATTTTAATAGTGGAGGCCTGGTGGCCGAGTGGTTAAGAGCTCAGCTGCTAACAAAAAGGTTGGCAGTTCGAATCCACCAGCCGCTCCTTGGAAACCTTATGGGGCAGTTCTACTCTGTCCTATCGGGTTGCTGTGAGTCGGAATCTACTTGACAGCAATGGGTTTGGTTTTTTTGGCTTATATTGAATTTTACCATTATCTTCTATATATACTAATTGATAATGGTTCTCATTTGCTGCAGTAATACAAGATTTTAAAGGTGAGTTGATTTTAAAAAAAAAAAAAGTGAGTTGATTTAAAGAATTATATTGTATAAATAATATAGGTTTTTGTAGATATGACCAAAATCATGTTGGCGGTATTTGAGTAGTTGATGTTTCGGTGGCACTGGTCAATTCGATTTAATTCAGCCCATATTTAGGAGCACTTACCCATGATGAGCGAGGGACTGCCCTAGGTGGTTAGGAGCAGGTGCGGCCGTTCTGGGGTCCTTCATGTTCTTGGTACAAGTTCTGCTTAAATACGCACTATGTACATTGTGGCCCCCCTAACACTTGTCCTTTCTTTGACCCTTCCAGATGTAGATGAATGCCGGACCATCCCTGAGGCCTGCCGAGGAGACATGATGTGTGTTAACCAAAATGGCGGATATTTATGTATCCCCCGAACAAACCCAGTGTATCGAGGGCCCTACTCAAACTCCTTTTCGACCCCTTACTCAGGTCCATACCCAGCAGCTGCCCCACCTCTTTCAGCTCCAAACTACCCCACGATTTCAAGGCCTCTCATATGCCGCTTTGGATACCAGATGGATGAAAGCAACCAGTGTGTGGGTGAGTAGTCCAGCATCTAGCCTTCTCTCGCATTTGGTGAAGGTGTTGCCTGAACCCAGCATGTCCAGCTCAAATGACTTGTTAGCTACTATTCAATACACCAGTGAAGCAGTAACTTACTTTCTATAGAGTTATTCAACTCATAGGAGCCTGTATCTCTGGGTCCCTTCTGACCTTGGGGTCTAGCTTGCTGTCTTATTCACAGTTCTCCAAAGAGTCAACTTTTTCTTTATTTAATTTTCATTTATTACTTACATATATATCTTAAGTCCAAGCTTACATTTCAATTTAATAACAAATACATTTGTTCAAACTTATTAAGTAAATTGCAGAGACAAGAGCTAGAAAGGGCCAGAGCTCTCTCTTCAGCTCTCCCACCCTTGAACGGAACATAGGCTTCTGCAATAGAAGAAGCCTTGAAGACCAAGATCAACCTTTCTAGAAAGAAAGCTGGTTCCTCGGGTGGAAATCAAATGCTCATCTGGCCAAAAGAAGCCTTACTGATGGGAACTCATAGCAAGAATAGCCACTGGGAGGAAGGAGACACATAGCCATGAGGCCCCAAAGGAGTTGGTGAGTAGTGTGACTGGTACCCTAGTGAGCTTTGGTGTTTTGTTGGCTAGTGTGGCCTTGGAGGAGGGTTCTCTGGCATCCTCCCTTTTCCCTTTGGCTGTGGTTGGACCAATACCTTGTAACTATCTCCGGCTTTGGGAGATGGCCTAGAATGATGGCTTTCAAAGTCTTGATGGTGGACCACATCTGCAAAATCTTTTTAAGCCTATACCCCCCATTAAATGTATATTTATAACTTATATACTATTACACTAGTATAGTTTGTGGAGTATAAAGCATACATAAAAAACAGACAACTTAAAAGGATGTGATAAAAATAAATACAAATCAAAATTCTAATATTTCTATAAAAATACTCCAAAGGTTTGGTCTATCAAGTAAGATTCTTGTTGGTCCCATTTCAGGGCTCTCACCAACTGTTAGAGAGGTAGTGCTGGTTATTTTATAATATTTTCTATATGTTCATGTAAGTGAGCGGGCATTTCCATTTGAATATATGCAATTAATACGCAAACAGAGCTACAAGGGAAAGTTGGATACACCCAAACCCAAACTTCCTCATTCGTACTGGTCTGGTCCCAGGGACGGGGCGCGTGCATGTGTGTGTGTGTGTGTGTGTGTCTGTGTGTCTGTGTGTGTGTCTGTGTGTGTCTGTGTGTGTGTGTCTGTGTCTGTGTGTCTGTGTCTGTGTGAGAGAGAGAGAGAGAGAAGAGAAGGAGAGAGAGAGAGCACACAAGAGCAAGTGCAGGAGGCTGGTCGATGGTCATCTTGAAAACACGCAAAGGGAAAGATTGTGGGACCCATCGGCCTTGCACTGAAGCTTTGGTGGAGGAGATAGTGACACGCTTCCTTACAACAAGTAGCAGAGAAATAGACCATTATAACTGGACAGGACTTTCACAACCTCTAGCTCTCATCTCTTCACTTTATAAAAGGGGCTCCGACAAGTTAGGATGGGCGTCCCAGCCATCCTGACTCCCGGTGACTCCTCACTATCCCATGTGATCTCTCCCATCTGGTAGAAATGACCCCAAAAGAACATGCAGAGAAAGAGAAGTAAGGGGGACTGCTCTTCTGGGAGGTCACGTGGGGCTGGATAAGCCGTGTGACCAGCCCCACTTGTGTGCATTTTAAAGTGAGGCCGGGGTGTAATGACCCTTCTGATGCACTTCAGCTTTTAGAAGGGCTAAATGGTCATGGTGTAGGCTGTGCTACCTGATGTCCTGGGCGGCCCCACAGACCCCTTTAGCGGAACAGCTGGGAACTGTCACCGGGCTCTTGGAAGCACCGCCTCCCTCCTGCAGACTCTCTCCAGGATCCTGGTGCCTTGAGAGTGAGGATGTGACTGAGAAACATATTCACCCCTGTGACGTCATGCAGTTTATGACTCCGAACCTGTCACACGAGACATAATGGCCCTTTTGTAGGAAGAATACAATGCAGGAACCCTAGCAAGAGCTGGCACCAGGCCCATCCATTTCCCAAAAGTCCAGCATTATGCATTCATAAGTACGAGTTCTTTCTTCCTTCCCTTCACCCCGCCCCACTGTTTCCTGACTTACTGAGGGCTTTCAACTAGGCCCTGCAGAGGTCCTTCTGGGCATTGTCAGCCATGGCCTCACGGGCCCGGAGCAAGAGAAAGGACGGGGAAGGGAGGCTCTTTCTCCCCACTGTTCCTTCCAGGAGCAGGGATGAGAGAGAGGTGGGCCTGGGAATGGGCAAAAGGGAAGCGAGGCACAGAGGTGGCAGAAAAGGGGGAGGAAATGAGAAGGGGAAATGGTTGAGAAAAGACAAGGAGGTGAGTCTGGAGTGGTCACTGCCTAGAGAAGGAGAACGTCCGGGCTTCCCAGAGTGTAGCTCTTATCCCATGGAGGAAGCATCGGATGAGCAGTGTCTGAATCGGGAGAATTGGGAGACATGTCTGAAACTTTGGTGTTCTGGTGAGGAGAGCAACAGCTCTGAGGAGCAACATTCTCTTCCTCCTGGTCAAAATAAAAAAAAGAATAAACAATAGTAACAACAACGATAGCAGTAATAATAGCAGAAGCTTCACAACAACCTTATAAGGTAGGATTGTTATTATTCATATTGTACCAATGAGGAATCGTAGGCACAAAGAGGTTAAGAAACCTGTTCAAGCTCACACAGCCATTGAGGGAGCCGAGCCAGGATTTGAACCCATTCAGGCTCTGGATGAGGAAACTGAGACTCAGTGAGGGCAAGGTTTATTCATGGCCCCATAAGGAGTCAGTACCAGTGCCAGGATTGAAAACTGGGTCTTTCTCTTGTTCTTTTTTATTTTTTCCAACTAAATTTTCTGTTCTGTAAAATTTTGACCTAGACAAAAGTAGAGAGAACATAACGGATGTGCACATACTCATTGCCCAGCTTCAGGAGTTACCAGCATAGACCCCATCTCATCTTCTTTACCCTCCCCCAGTGGATTAATTTAAAGCACATCCCAGCCAGTGTATCCTTTCCTCTTAAATACTTCAGAAAGTATCTAAGAGATAAGGATCCTTAAAAAAAAAAAAAAAAACACCATTATCAAACCTACAAAAATTATTGATAATTCATATCTTCTTGAAGTGAGGTAAGAAAACCAAACCAAACCTGTTGCCATCAAGTTGATTCTGACTCATGGTGGCCCCATGTGTTACAGAGTAGAACCGAGCTCCATAGGATTTTCTTGGTTGTACTCTTTATGGAAGCAGATTGCCAGGCTTTTCTTCCGTGGCACTGCTGGGTGGGTTGGAACCATCAACTTTTCGGTTAGTAGTCCAGGGCAAACCATTTTCACCATCCAAGGACCTCAAAGTGAGGTATAGATGTTTATAATTCATATCAATTATGATATGATAATGGTATCCTATAATAACACATTATGATAATTCGTAATGATCAATAATTCGTATTTATTTCTCTGATTGCCTCATAAACGTCTTTTTTCAGTTGGTTTGTTTGAATGAGATCCAAACAAGGTTTACAAATTATGTTTGGTTGACAGGTCTCTTAAATCCCTCTTACTCTTTTTTGTTAGTCTTGCCACTTATTTGTAGGAGAAACTGAGTTACTTGTCCTGAAGAATTTTCTGCATGAGGGATTTGCTGACTGCATTCCTATGGTGTATTTAAAATATTCCTTCACCCCTGTATTTTCTGTAAACTGGTAGTAGTTACATCCAAAGGCTTGATCTGATTCTGATTTAATATTTTTGGCAAGCTACTTCATAGATGGAGTCCCTGGGTAGTGCAAATGGGTAAGAGCTGGACTGCTAACCAAAAGACTGGCAGTTCAAGTCCTCCTAGAGGCACCTCAGAAGAAAGGCCTGGTGATCTGCTTCCAAAAGGTCACAGCCTTGGAAACAACCCCATGGAGTGCAGTTCTACTCTGCACACTTGGGGTCGCCATGAGTTGGAATCGACTTGTCGGCAACTAACAACTTCACTGGTAGCGTTCCTGCTCTCTGGCCCTCTTGTACTCTGCTTTTGTCTGCCTTGAAGGAGCAAGTGGAAATCCTCTTTCACTGTGACTTACTTTTTCTGGGTTTTGGACCTACTTTCAAGGAAGCGGTCTTCTGTCTTGTGTCCAAATTAGGCATACCTTGTTCCTGTAGGCTGGGCAGGGCCAGGCTGGGCAGGGCCAGGCTTGGCGCTTGTGGCCCCAGTGCCTCTGAGCTTCCTTCTCTACTTCTCTGTCTTAGGTTCCACTTCAGTGGCAACTAGACCTGCTGCCTCTGGAACAAAATTTGGCTCAGGTTTGAGTCCACAGGCTCCCAGAAGTAAATCTGGATCACTCGGTATAGTTTTGCAGACTGAGTGAATAAAGACCCAAGAATTACAATCCACAAACCCAGAAAGTTTTGTGCCATTAGGTAAACTGGCATCTTGGCCTGGGGGTTTCCAGCACAGGGCAACCCCCACGTGGGACTCAGCTGGTCAGGATGTGTCACCCAGACCCTTGAGAGAGGTGGTGACCTGCTTCTCTGGGGGTGAGGAGCCGGACCAACGTGATTAACTGGCAAGGAGGAAGGGCTGCCAGCAGGGGATGTTCACCCATCTGGAACCCAACCAAAACCCAGAGAAAAGGCAAAACCAAACATATGTGAAGGTTTCTGAGCTGACCAAGGAGACATCTCAGGAGTAGGATGATGTGGGGTTAACTGGCGCTGAAAACTCAGGGCCTGGGCTGAGCTGCAGCTGAGGGGCTGGGAGCACTGGGGGATTTGGAACCTAGTTCAGGAACTTTCCAATCACGGCCCACAGCAACGTAGAGGTCCTTGCATGTAGATGCCACTTGATTCTGCATGTCCATCCCCTTTGGGGCTGAACTTGTCACCTTTCTGAGGGGACCTTCCAAGTTCTGGCTTTGCAAACCAAGCTGGCTCAGTAGTGATGTTCGGGACTCCACCAACAACTAATGTGCAT